TTGATACGTCAGGAGCAGGTTGAGGTAATTTGACAGGAGGGCGGTGTGGGTTCGGTGTGGCAGGGTCGGTGCTGGATCCCGTTCTAGGTGGAGGGTAAGGCACAGAAGGGTGAGGGATAGTTGAAGATCGTGTTAGGAGGAGCGGTGGTATGTGTGTGTGAGAAGGCTGGTGATCATTGAGGTGCGAGTTGGCTGTAGTTTTGAGTGGAAACATATGTTCGTGGAAGATAACGTGCCGGGAGATGTGAGTTCGTCCTGTGACAGTATTGTGACAGAGATAGCCTTTGTGCTGGGGTGAGTAGCCTATGAAGATACACGGGTGTGATCGGGGAGCTAGTTTGTCCTTGGAGTAAGGTCTTAGCCACGGGTAACATAAGCATCCAAAAGATCGCAGATGTTTGTAGGATGGCGGGTTGCCGGTGAGGAGCTGAAAAGGGATTTGGTTAGAGATGGATTTGGACGGTAATCGGTTTATGAGTAGAAGTCCAACTAGGGGTTGTATAATGCTTGTAATTTATTGGAAGCATCCTTGCATTTTCTTGAAGTTTTATGAAAAATACTTTCCCAAGATATTGTCTTGGATGTTGAAAGTGTTGGAGGAATCTTCTTGACCACAGATACAGTCAAGGTTGTCCCCCCAGTCCAAATTTGATTCTCATAAAATTGATTTAGTGATAGTTGATGTCAGGATGTTGCCGTCCTGGAATATTTTCATATAGAGAAATATAAAAGTTAATATATTAGTTTTGTACGAAGATCCATCACACAATCAAATAAAAGGGAGGGTGTAGGATTCATAAGAGACACCAAAGTTTTTGCGTGGAAACCCCTGAAAAAGGTGAGAAAACTATAGGGCCTAGACCAGTCTGAATGAATCCATTGGTATTTGCAATCAATTACAAATGAAGCCCTTCCATCCACTGGTATTTGTAGTCAATTACAAATGAAGCCCTTCCTTAGGAGGAAGACCTTGGCTTCATGCAATAATTATATATCATATAGAGTGTATTACATGGTGGGAATTGAAAAAATTAGTATTGATATGTTCATTTAGTTTACATGACCATAGTTAACTAATGACACATGTCGAAAAGATCATATTCATGTGACGGTGGTCAAAAGGACCATAGTCGGCGGGCGACGGAGGTCAAAAGGTCCTTTGTATGGTGATGGAGGTTAGAAGACTAAAATCAGCATTCGACAGGTCAAAAAGACTATTATCAGGTGATGGAGGTTAGAAGGACCGTAGTCCGTGGGTGACGGTGATTAGAAAGATCGTTGTTTTGAGACAGAGGTCGAAAAGACTGTAGTCGGTATGCGACGTTAGTTAGAAAGACTGTTGTTTAGCAACAGAGGTCGGAAGGGCCATTCTATGGTGACGGAGGTCAGAAGGACCATAGTCGAGCGACGGAGGTTGGAAGGACTATGCTTGGCGGGCGATAGTAGTTAAAAAGACCTTTGTTTAGCGAAGGAGGTTGAAAGGATGGTAGTTTGGCGACGGAGGCGTAAGGACCATAGTCAACAAGCGACAATGATTAGAAAGATCGTTGTCAGGTGATAGAGATCAAAAAGATCATAGTCAATAGAGATAAAAAAAGATCATAGTCGGTGGACAACAGTGGTCAAAAAGACTATTCTCTGGCCAAGGAGGTCAGAAAAATCGTACTCGGGCGATGATGGTTAGAAGGATCGTAGTCGATGGGTGACGGAAGCCAAAAAGACTGTTGTCATTCAATGGCCAGGTATAAATTCGGCTTTTGTTGCATGTCGGGCAGTAGTCCGATGATAGTTGTTGGCCTGGTAGAAATTTGGCATTAGTCGGTTGTCGGCAGAAGTTCGATGATGGTCCGGCGACAGTCAGTAGTTTGACGGTAGTCGAGGAGGAGTTTGGTGGTAAGAGAACTCAAGTTTATTTCTCTTTCTTTTTCTTCTATCCTTCGGTGTAAATCTGGCTTCAGTTGGTAGCCGGGCAGAAGTCCGGCTTTAGTACACAGATGGGCGAAAGGTCAACGGTGGTCGAGGAGGAGTCTGGTGGCAAGAGAAATCTAGTTTCTCTCATTTCCTTCTCTTCCTTGCTTGGCCCCACATCCTCCCTCCCTCTTTCTATTTATAATTTTTTGAGAGTGACATAGGCAGTAAATAAAGGAAGATCAAGGTTATGTAGATAGTGGTTTGAATGGATGGTCGATATTGATCCCCTTGCTAGTGGATTGTTTACTGGTCATTTGAAAGATTTATGATATCAGAATTTGACAATCTTAGGTTCGTTGGATTCGTCTCATCGAGCCGCTTGATTCGACTATAAGCATGTCACATTTAAAAGTGATGTGGGGAGAAACATGGAGAAGCAAGAAGAAGAAGAAGAAGAAGAAGAAGAAGAAGAGCTAAACAGCTATTGGGGACCCAAAACAGCTAAACTGTTATAAATTCCAAAAATATTCATATCTTCTTCTACCTATAGCATCTATTTATAACAAAATAATAGAAATGCCAAGAACTCTCTAGAAAAAAGGTACTAAATTAGATAAACTATTCCTAAGCCATGATTTAACTAATATGCTCCGCATCAAAAAGTCATTTGCTCATCCAATTTGTGGTTTGAACTTTCCAATAACGCTTCAAGTTCGATTTGGACCCATTTTGGCTTGGATTGAGTTGAATTAGTGTCGTTGGGTTTGTATTTTTGAGATGTTTAGTCTAACTAAAAGTTAGCTGAAATCGAAGTTCATATGGTCCCAAATTTAATTTTGGAAGTTTCCAACTTGATTTTGCCTCGAGATTCATGCCGGATCAAGAGGATGATAATATATATATATATAGTATTTTGCTCGATACAACTAGGTATTATTTGATAATAACGAGGAATACCGCTCTCTGAAGACCAATACCGAGTTATACCGAGCTGTACCGAGAAATACCGAGTTGTACCGAGTTTTTTCTAGGAAAAACTTGGTACAACTTTTATATAACTCGGTATAGCTCGATATATCTCGGTATTGGGTCTTCAAATGATAGTATTTCTCGTTATTGTTTGATATTGCTCGGTACAACTCATTTTTTGGCGGGATTTTGCCTCCGACCGAACGTTCCTCTACGTCCGGTCGGAAGACGTAATAATTGTTCCCATGTTTGGCTGTTTTGAAATTGTATTCCTTAGAATTTGGCTGATTTATTTGTTCTTGTGATAATAATCAACGATCTTCAATTTATTCTTATTTGTTATTGCTAATTTAATTTATTAATCTTATTTTCTCTTATTTGATTTATTTGTAATGTATTCGATTTACTCAATTCAGTTTAAGAACATTAAATTTCAAAAGTTTTAAATAACTTATAAAAAAAGGAAATTTTTATAAGTGATAATAATCAATTAAGCTCAAAATTTAACAACTAATAATTTAATATCTTATATTATAAATAAATATTCATTTTTTATAATAACCTTCAACAATCAAATTAATAGCTGCAATTTTTTTGTCAAGGAATTGAAAAATTAGCAATATAATTAATTTAAATAAAATAAAATATGAAAAATTTCAGTCAAATTAGAAACTTAAAATTTCTCAATAACAGAAAGTTATCAATAAGAAAAAAAATCGAAGAGTTGAATTGTTTTTACTATATAAATTTCAGTTCTAACTTGTAAATAATCAAAATCTAGAATTTAACGACATGTATAATGAAATATTAAAAGAAGAAAAGATTTATATATAAATAGACCACCAAATGATACATAAGAGTACATCGATCAAGCTGGTTCATGCTGAGATTGCATTCTTCACACTTGATATACATCAAACAGATAAGATAAGAAGAAGTTTGTAGCTTATGTATTTTGAAATTTTCATTAAAGTATTTGGACCTATTATCAGGGTCAAATACGGATGTCGGGAATGTGAGCAATCTTGTGCCGATCGGAGCCTCCATCCTCTCGATAGCGCTCATATAACTCTGGATGACATCCCCAAATTTCTAGAAGTTTCAAAGAGGGAGGAAGGTTCGGTAATTCGCGAAGCATAGGAACATCTTCAATATATAGTTCAATTAAGCAAGGAAAGAAACATCCATCTTCAGCAGCTACTCCTGTTGCCTCAAACCAATCTTCTAATTCTTCTAATCCCGTAATATCTAAAACCTCTAGCAATGGAAAGGTACGGTATTTATCATTCCCATTATATTTACTTTGGAGCCATTTTACTTTCGGCATTTTCCAAAGTGTCAGTGACTTGAGGAAGGGAAGTTGCCCAAAAGGTGGAAGAGTTTCCCACTCACTGCAAAACATCAACTCGATTTTCTCTAGATTGGAGATAAGATTGACGTTGTTCATCCATGTAGCAGACCTTGCACCCATGTATCTATATATCTTCAGATTCCTTAGACAATTTGGTGGCTGAAGGTTGTCGAGCACTTTCTCATATAAATTGATGTTCCTCAAATCAGTCTTATTCCACTCTAAGCTTAAATTTGTGAGCCTCCTCTTGGCATATAATTTGGCACTACAAGCCTCCTCGGCATCCTTAACATTTTCAAGGTTGTCGATTCCTAAAATGCGAAGATCATTCATATTCTCCAGCTCCCCAATTCTATAACCACTTTCATCTATAACAACAAAGTTATTCAGTTCTGTAAGATACTTTAGCTTTCCAATCCCACATATCAATGAATTATAACCACCGAACAATTTCACGTAACGCAAGTTAGAAAGGTTATTAATGTCACTTGGTAAAAAAACTGAACAATTATGTCGCTCATCACATATTAGGTATTGCAAGTGATAGAGATTACTTAGAGATCTTGGCAGTATAATCAAATCATATCCATCAATCTTTAAGTATCGAAGATGTATCAAATTTCCAATCTCCTCGGGTATTATTTCCAAGTGCTCTAGACGCAGTAAGTAGAATAAGCGTAGGCATCTCGATGCATTGAATATTCCAATAAGCACTTTGCAAAGATCCTGATCATTAGAATCTTCATAGAAAAAGAAAAGAGAATGCAAATGTTTAAACTTCTCAATCTTTTTAAAGATGTTTGGATTTGTAGTTTGAACAGACAAGTGTCGAAGAGTCTCAGGAATTTTGAAAGATCACTCTTCATCATCCACAAGTTTGCCGCATACCTGTGCAAAAAATCTAGATGCCGACTCATGTATTAAATCATGCATCTTGTAGTCATCTCCATCCTTATCAAATAAAGCTTTTTTGACTAAAACATCAAAATACCTTCCTCCGATATCCTCCATAGTCATTCCTTGAGTCGGCTGAATGAAACCCAATGCAATCCACATTCGGACTAAATCATCTTTATCATACTCATGATCTTGTGGGAACATACAACAAACTGCAAAACAATTTTGTAGATGATTTGACAGAACTATATAGCTCAGTCTTAAGATGGAATGGATAGAATTCTGATCCAATAAATTGCTTTCTAGAACTGTCATCCAATGCCTTTCATTCAAGTTGTCATTCAGAACACCACCAATGACTTTAGCTGCCAATGGGGATCCTAAAAGCTTTTTAACTATCTCTCCAGCAATGGCTCTTAATTTTTTATGATCATCATCAGAGGGGTTCTTTACACCAGCAAATGCATGAGAGTTGAGGAGCTTCAAACACTCATCTTCCTCTAGGCCCTCCAATTTAAATATTTCATTTTTCTTTTTAATTACCTTTGCAAACATCAGTGCAACTGACTCCGTTCGAGTTGTTACCAGAATCTTACTACCAAAACCCCCAGAAGCTAGAGGAGCGAGCACATCCTCCCATTTGCTGATATCGCGGTTCTCCTCATCCTCCTCCCAAATATCATCCAGCGCAAGTAAGAACTTTTTGGACATCACCTCCTCCTCGACACGCCTTTGAAGTCCCACAAGTGTCTCCAAACGAGGCCTCTCATTCTTAAGAGATTCCAACATATCTGCAATGACTTTTTTCACATCAAAGTTGTTGGAAACACAAACCCACATTTTAAGATCAAATTCTTTTGTAATTTCATCTTTATAAACATGTTGCAATAGAGTTGTCTTCCCCATACCACCATGGCCCACTATAAATAGAAGAGAAATGTTTCTGTACAAATCAGTTTCCCGAGGCTCATTTGATGGATTCCTCAGCCACTTCATAACAAGCTCCTTCTCCTTGCCTCGACCGATGAGATCATTTTTAGGCGAGGATCCCGTTTCACGCGCTCTGTACTGCTCAAGCTGCTGCTCCTGATTTGCGTCTTTTACAAGAGTAAGGAAAGAAGCAACATTAGTTGAAACTCTATAAAGTTTCTGCACAGCCTCATCCAGTCGCTTCAAGTTGGGATCTATTTTCAGAGCACGTTTGATAATTTTGACAAGTCTTTTCTTCATGGATTTCATGATGGAACGCACCCTTCTCAGCTTCTTGTTTTTGGTCACCTGTTTTTCCAGTTCCATGTACTCCAGCTCGTCCAACACGTCATCTGCATCATCAATGGCATCTCGTAGCTGCCATAGCCATTTGTTAAGATCCGGATAGCCTTCTGTGATCTGCTCTTGGCTAGAAGCAAAGCGGACGACAGCTTGGATCTGGGGGAGAATCTCTTTCAGCTTTTCCAGGTCCTCCTTCGTGCGTTTCTTCCATGTGACTTGATCTTTCAGGTAACGCAAGCCAGCGCTGATGAGCTTCTCCATAATTGGATCAAGAGACATATCCGCCATGGAAACGACGATCAATGTAGAGCAGAACAACTGAACAGTAAGAAAAAAAAAAGGAGATTGGAAGAGATGACGATATCCTGCTGGTTAAGATAAGGGAAATCGGGATCGAGTGTGCGGCGCAATGGATGAAGGAAGGAAGGAAGGAAGCAAGTGAAGCTTCAAGATAGAATATTTTTCATCAGATACTAAATTGTTCTTATTCAAATGAAATATTCAGTTTAATATTTAGATACGCATATTTGCATAGTGGATTGCGATGGATTTAACCAAACCAGCAGTTAAATGAGCCTTCATTCTTCATCTTGTTTGCTTCCTCATTCATAGATATTTAACATAATTCATAAGTAAACAAAACATATTAATATTTTCCTTCAGAAATATTTATTACTCTCAAAAAAAATTTTTTAAGGACAATTTTTTTAAAAAATTATTATTAAAGATTAAATTAGAAAAAAAAGATCCCATTAAAAGAAAATTTAAAAAAGGAACATACACGTAAAAGAGCTTTGCGCTTTCCTTTAATTTTTTTTTTTCGTTTTTAGCTTTAGAGAGAAGGACATAGAAATGAATATTCATATCAAGCACAAAGAAAAGATAGAGATAGAAAGTCGGATAGAGAGGAAGGGGGCAGGCTGAGAGAAACGGAGAGAGGGAAATCAATTAAAATTTAAATAATTTAATTTTATATTTTTAATATTTAATTAACTTTAAACTTTTTAATAATATTTTAAATATTTAATTGAATTTAAAAAAGATATTAAAAAAATTTAACATGATGAATATTATAAATATTATATTTATTTTTAAACCATCGTTGATGATCTTGCTCATGAATGGACCAACAAACCATCCCTTCACCTCTATGGCACCCATGATCGAGGTAGAGAGAGCAGAACAACTGAACAATAGGAGAAACAGAGATTGATTGGAAGAGATGAAGATTAGATAGCATCGACATAGTGACTGAGGCAGTACATTGTTCAGTACAGAGCTTAAATTGTTTAAACCTCAACACATACGTCTACCAAGCCAAAAAAAAAAGTAGAATCATGCATAATTAAAAAAAATTACTCAAGGAAAAAAATAGCAGGAATACTAAAATTTGTCCAATAAACTCTACCGCTAGAATTCGTTTAGAAAACATAGCAGTGATGGGAATGTAGAATATACCTGAAATTTTAGCTGAGAAGCACCGCTGTCCTGCTCGAAAAACCAAAAGAAATAACGAAGCACGAGTAAGTAAATAAAGTTCTATGCCCCCTCTGTTGCTAACGTAGTTCCGCCGCTGTCTTTGCTTGCCTAAAAGAACGAAAAAAAAAATCTGAAACTGCGGGCTTGTATGCGAAAAATGGAAAAGAGACAAGATCAATGGAAAATAAATCTGAAACTCACCGGAGAAGCTGAAGAGAGACACGACGCCGGCGACGGAAACTGCGACTGTGGACGACCTTGGGAAGGCTAACGTCCGGGCACCGCACAGAGACCGGGAGAAGAACTTCCTGCGGGCTACGACACACGAAGAAGAGCGGCTGTGAGCGTGAATGCTTTATTACAAGCAATTAGGGCAAAAAGGGGGCAAGATAAGAGTATGAGGGGGGCAAATGACTTAAATGACCATTTCTTATAATATATAAACTAAGAAAAATTAATGTTTTTTTATGTGATGATGATGAATAATTTGATACTAATTTATATTTGTATATAATATAATTTAATATATTTAAAAAAATTTAAACATTTTAAAATGAGTTAAATTCTGAGATTGATTTATTTTTAATATATTTAAATTATTAATATCAAATATATAATTAGTCAAATTTTCTCTTGAACTCAAGAAGAAAACTTGTAAATAATTTTTTTTAATATTTAAAAAAAAATTAAAGATTCACAATTCAAGTAATTTGCTATAAAAATAAATGAATGACTTTGAATTAGATGTGTAAAAGAGTTGAGTCGAGCTCAACTACCAGATATCGAGCTCGAGCTCGACTCATTCCGCTGTCGAGCAACTCGTCGAGCTTAGAAATGTCGTCCGTCGTCGCATTCCCGATCGAGGTCAAGTTCGTCATCGTCGCATTCCCAATCGAGGTCGGGTCCGTCGTCGTTCTCCGTCGGGTTCCCAATTGAGGTTGGATCCGTCGTTGCGTTGGCTATCGAGGTTGTGTCCGCCCTCACGTTCCCAGTTGAGCTCCTTGTCGAGCTGACGAGTCGAATCTGACGCCTATTCAAGCTCGAGCTCGATAAGCCTTCAAGCTTGAAACTTTGTTCGAGCTCGATAAGCTCGACTCGTCGAAACTGTTACCGAGTCGAGTCCGAGCTAGCTTGACTCGGTATCACCCCTACTTTAAATATTATAGTTATTATCTTGATTTAATTCATTTATAGCCCTAAGTATTAATCAAGATACTAGTAAACATAAATTAAAATTTATTTATGTATTTAATAACCTAAATATAAAAATAACTTAAAAATTATTTTATTAATTAATATACATTTAAATATTATCAAAATTTAACTTAAAATTTATTTATAACTTCAAATTAATATACTTATATAAAAATTTAACTTAAATTTAATTAATTAATTAATATAAATTTAAATGATGTAATTTTAATTAACTTAAATATAAATTAATATATATGTAATATACTTTACTAATTAATATGCTTTTAAATATTATTAAATTTGGTATAACATAATAACATTTAATTTAATATTAAAATTGCAATAATATTAATAACAAAAAATTTTAAACAGCATATTAAAAAAATCAACACATTTTAAAATTCTTCAGAACTAACCTTAAAGATGATAGAAACTTCACTTTCCTTGTCTATTTCTCAACTCTCACTTTGTATTCCTCCCAACCTTGCAAAAGCTTGTGCTCTCAAGGCAAGCCGGTTGCCATTTAAAGAAAACAAACAGGAATAATGTTAGCTTGTAGGGTCCCATTCAAGCAATCTAAAGGATCTTTCATCCCCCCATTCAAGCAATCCGGTTGCAAATAAAGGATCTGCCATCCCCCCTATTCAAGCAATCTAAAGGATCTATCATCCCCCCATTCAAGAAGTAATCATGTGAAAGTTGCATAAAGTCTAAAGAACGTCACATGCAGAAAAACATAGTTCTCTGCTACATAATATTCTTGTTTTTTCACAAGATCATGATAATTTATGTAGCATCAAGCAAGTACAAGAAAATAATAATAATAAAGTTTTATTAAATATTTTTTTTGCTTTTGCTAACAAGCTTTCCTATCTTCTAATAAATTGATGAAGTTCAGTTTGACTATAAGCTTGCTTAAATAAAAATTAGGATGATCCTAAATATAATTTTGAAAATTTCCAAATTAGACATTCCTTGAGATTTGTGATTGATCAAGGCGATTTTTGATGACGTATCCATAAGTCGATTTAATACCTGCAATTTTTTATCTAGAAATTTAAAAACTTAGAAACAAAATTAATTTAAATAAGAGAATGTAAGAAAATTTCAGCCAAATTAAAAAGTTAAATATTCCAAGAACTAGAAGTTATTTACCAACGAGCATTAGCTGATTAGCTTATGTAGTTTAACCAATAGCTATTTAAAACCAAATCATTAGAAGAACAACAAATCTTATTAAAATGCGACCATAAGTAAATAACAATCAGAAAATAAAAACTCTAAGACATTTACTAGACTGAAGCAAAAACCTCACGTAAGCAATAGACGAAGCTGAAACAAAAACTTCACTTAAGACATTTACTCATTTCAATTATTATTCCTAATATATCATAAAAAATTATTTTGATTGGGCATGAATCTCGAGGCAAAAATCAAGCCAGAAACTTCAAAATTTAAATCCGAGATCACCTGAACTCCGATTTCAGCAAACTTACAGTCAAATTGAGCATCTCGTAAATACAAATCCAACGCCACCAAATTTGACTCAATCCGAGCCAAATTTGGGTCCAAATCAGGGGTCCGAAGCTCTATTGGAGGGATTGAACCACAATTTGGGTTACCAAACAGTTTCCAAACATGACGTGCTTATAGTCGAATCAAGCGGATCGACGAGACGAATCCAACAAGCCCAAGATCACCGAATTCCGACATCATTAAGACGTTCAAATGTCCATCAAACGGTCCATGATCAAGGGGTTCAACATCGGTTGTCCATCCAACCACTTCCCATTTACCTTTGATCTCTCACCTATTTACAGGCCATACTAGCTAAAATATATGCGGCGATAGAGTTAGAAAATTTTCGTCTCAGCGTTGTACATATATCCAGCACACAAATAGGAGAGAAATAAACACTAGGATTTTTATGTGGAAAACCTAAAAAGGGAAAAAAACACGGGGTCACACCCAGTTGAAATAATTCCACTAGTGTTTTGTTTGAGGTACAAGAGGCTGACTCGCCACTAAAATTTAGGACCATAATATTACAATGCTACACTTCCGGATTGAAATCCAACTACAATGTCGGGCAAAGTTTCGACGTAACTTGGAAATCGAGCAAAATTCTGGTGTCGTTCGGAAATTAGGCAAAATTCCGACTGCGTTCGGGCAGAATTCCAGCGTCGTTCCAAAATCTGGCAGAATTGCGGCCTTCGGGCAGAAGTCCGGCGGCGTTCGGGTAGAATTCTGGCGACGCTCTGGCAAAATTCTGACAACGATAGTCGATGAGTTTCTTCTCTTTTCTTCTCCTTCTTCTCTTCTTCCTCCTGCTAAGATTCCCTCTCAAGAGAAATGAGGGGTCTATTCAAAAATTTTATAGAGTGACTTGGCCCGTAAATATATGAGAGATCAAGGGCAAATATGGAGTGATTCGGATGAATGACCAATATTGAATCATTCGATCATGGACCGTTTATCAAGCATTTGAAGGTCTTAATGACTTCGGAATTCAGCGATCTTGGGCTCGTTGGATTTGTGTTGTCAAACCGCTCGATTCAACTATAAGTTCATCAAGTTCGGAAACCGTTTGATAACTCAAAATTTTTAGTGGTACAAACTTTTCAACAACGCTTCGAGTCCTTGATTTGAATTGATTTGGGCTCGGATTAAGTCAAATTTGGTGTCGTTGGGTTCGTATTTATGAAACGCTCATTTTGACTGTAAGTTTGCTGAAATCGGAGTTTAGGTTATCCCAAATTTAATTTTTGAAGTTTCCAGCATAATTTTGCCTCGAGATTCATGCCCGATCAAGATAATTTTTTGATGATATATCAAGTACTAAGCATAAATCAATTATAAAATGAATTAAATGGGCTTTAGGGTTGTAAATAATCCTAACTAGAGCGATCCCATTGTTTATTTGTGTTTGACTTCTTTGAAAATTTGTCCATTAGAGCTGATCTCATGTTCAAAATTATTTGTGAATATCATGTTCCAATTCAATTTGTGTGTTAAGTGTTATGAAACAAAAAACCCACAAATATGAGAAGTAGATGAAATAAAAACTATTACTTAAATCTAAAAGATTCACAACAACAATAAGAGAATTATATTTGAGTCACAAACCCAAACAAGAAAAGTAAGCCGAAAACTAAACCATTTAAACCCCTTCCGGCAAATTAATTTAAACACAAGATAAACCCCCAATATTACTTCACATTAACATCACAAGGCAAATAATGCAAGAAAATACCACCATGACCCACTATGCATAGCAGAGAAATGTTGCCGTACAAAGTAGTTTGATTATTTTTTGGTGGGAAATTAGGGGGAGGGCTTAGCCCATATCCATTTAAGTACAAAGAAAAATTACAAAGAGCAAAGGTTCAAAGAAAAAGAAAATACAAATGAAACCAGTAACCTGATCTACCAAAAAATTATGAGCTCAAAATCCAAAAGAGCACATAAAAGTGATCCTAAAACTAAAAAACAACCAAAAAGTGAAAGGAAAGAAATAGAAGACATTAGAGATAAGGGGAACAAATAACAACAAAGCTAGAAGGACTCAGAATGACCGAAACAAAATTAACCCAAAAATTGGATATCATCATGTGGATGCCGGTTCCCCTGGTTGCCGAGGGGACCTTCCAAGGGGAGGAAATGCCACTGGTTGCCAAAAGAAAGACCTTCCAAGGAGCAAAAACAAAATAATGGTTAAAATCAACATTCATCGTAGTCCTTGCTCATAAATCCTGAAACACCAGCCATACTCCCAAAAAAGTCGAAATAGGCAAGCCAATATAAACCACAAAAAGCAGCAGGCCAACAACTATCCACAGTTAAGAGATGAATTGATTGATGTCATTGAAATGTTTCCAGCATGAAATCTTCTTCAAAACAGCTTGTTTGATGCCCAATTTCAAAGAGGTCCAGCAATTAAAATCAGAAGCAACCCTTCTAATATTGTTTTCTTTCCAAATAAACTATATAGAACAGCAAGTTTGGTCTCAATAAAATTCCCTCCACCCAAAGGCAGAAAAGAAGATATAATATGGAACAAAAAAAACACATCCAAAGAACAAGTGAGAGTGTGTTTCCGGGGTAGGAATAATATAAGGAGCAGGAGGAATGACAATGGCCATCCAAAGAAATCATGAATAACGAATGGCATACCTCTTATGCCAAATAAAATCATGCTAGACAACCTTATGAGACCAACAACAACTACATCAAGTATTTATCCCACTCTATGATGCACAGACATGGACATGGTGACACATATACAACACGATACGGACACGAGACACATTAATTATTGAAAATATAGGACACATAAACAGGTTCGACACGGTATTATAGTTTTTATATTTTAAAAATAGTGTATAAAAATAAATAAATATAATTTTAAAAATAATTTAGAAATAATAAGTCATTTAACTAGAATTTGTGCTTAAAATGATTAATATTAGAATGCCGAGAGTTGGGCAAAGATGTTGTTTATCAGTCATCGAGAGAGGAGATGAAAATACATGTACTACCAAAGAGAAATGAAAATGAGAATATTTGATGAATGGGGTATTAAGTGCGACTAAATAATTTTGTGTTGTGGATAAGAAATAAGAAATTTAATTTTTATATTTTAAATAAGTAAATATTTTAAATACAAGAAACTATATTTAAAAAAGATCATAAAATGTATTAGATAAAAGTGTTTGACATGCGCGCCCAATTTGTATTTAATATTTTTTAATCGGACACATTTTCGGCGTGTCCGACATGTGTTGAAGGAGTGTTAGACACGTGTCATGTTGGACACTACACGCTTCTTTGAGGAGAAGTGTCGGTGCATCATAGATCCCACTATATGGGATCAGCAACATGAATCCTTTTTTCTCCATTGTGTCCTATTAAGAGTCAAACTCTCATTTAAATTTAATAAAAAAGGTCATTTATAATATTTTTCTAACCAAGTCTTTTTAGGTATACACCTACCTTTATTAACATAAGTTAAATCTAACAGATCTATTCTCCTAATCGAGTTATTGGAAGAACACCATTTTATGTGACCAAACCACTTAAAGCAACTCTCTCTAATCTTATATGCTACAAAAATCTAATCCAACATTTTCACGTACATGCTCGTTTGGTATCATATCTCTAAAAGTAATGTTACTCATCCACCTGAGCATTTTCATCTTTGCAACACATAACTTAATATTATGATTCTCTTTTAATGACCACATTATACGTCATAAAGCATTGCAGGTCTTACCACCATCTTATAGATTTTTTTTTTTTAAGTTTGAGGAGGTACTTTTCTATTACACAATAAGCTAGATTCATTCCTCCACTTCAACCATCCAACAAGAATTCTACTAAAAATATCCCCCATCTATTTCACCATCACTTTGAACAACATACCCAATATATCTAAAATATGTACTCTTATAAAATGACTTGATTTCTCAAAGTTGCAACCCCCTCAATAGATCTATGACTACTAAAATTACACTACATATATTCGGTTTTAGACCTCTTACAAAAACCTTTAAACACTAAGGTTGACCTCCATAACTCAAGTTTACCTTCAACTCCCTCTCTAGTTTTATCAACAAGAAGAATATTGCCAGCAAACAACATGCAACAAGCAACCTTCTGAGACTCATCAAAAAAATTCAAGTAGAAGTTTTTAAAAGTAGGATTAGAAGATCCCAACCAGTAGATAGTAGAGGAGCCATGTTCAGAGATGCTAATATTGGAGATAGCGTTTTTGATAGTCAGAAGAAAATGAAGAGGAATTTTCCAGACAATTTGCTATTTTACACAATTGAGAAGGAAATCAAACCTTTAATCTTCAAGGCCACTGAGAAAAGAAGCTTCCAATATATGGAAGCTCTATCATGAGGATGCTTCCAAGGGGATTTGTACTTGAGCTTCAGTCCATAATACAAGAGATTCTTCCCATTAATTATACACCATATTAAAGAGCAGCCAAAGCCATGACACAAAGCAGGAATTGTCGGTACACCCAGACCCGCAAACCATCTGGTTTTACAAGTATCATTCCAAAAGAGGATATGTAATTTTTCCCCCGAAGAATCACCATGAAAAAAATCTGGAACATACCTTGTTTATGAATTTAATCCCAGCTTTAGATATAATAACCCCTCTTAACCAATAAGCAACAGTGTTATAGATAGTAAAACTTAAGAACTGAAATCTTCCAGCAAAAGACAAAAGACGAGCTTCCAAACCATCTAATAATCCAGACATTTTTTGAGTAAGAGTCTGAAAGTCAGAGGAAATCAACCTGTAAGAAGAAATCGGGAGGCCAAGATAGGTGAATTTTTTAGAGGGGTGAGGATGTTTAACAGAATACAAATAGCAGGGAAGGAATAAGTGATTAAAAAAAAACAAAATATAACCTTTTACCTGGTTTGTATGAAGCCCAGATGAATTAGCAAAAACATTTAGGGGCTGCTTCGTATCGGATTTATTCCTGAATTTAAGTCGGATTTACGCTAAATCCAGCCAAATGGTTTTACAGCGCGCGTTAAATCCCGGGATTCTATAAATCCTGGATTTAGGGATTTACGGCATAAATTTGAGATTTACTAAATCCCTCGGTTCGGCGGATTTATGGGATTTGGGCGAAGAAGCGCGCCAAAAGAAGAAAGTTACCTTCACAGCCAGCGAGCTCCTGTTGTTGCTTCCGATCAAAATGTCATAACTTCCGATCCGAAAGGAACGGAAAGTCATCGAGCGAAGTCGAACAGCCATGAAGTAGCCGAAGAAGCGACGCGGGCAACCTCTACACCTGCGAAGCATCGAAGCCGAACAGCAAGGACGACAAGATGGCTGTTTGGTTGAATGAACAAAAAAAATGCAATGTAAATTAAATATAATATATTATGAATAAAATAAATAATAAACTAAAAAGTCTAATAGATTAACTTATAAACTTTGAATGTTACCCTCCCATTTCTGCATACCAAATAACTCCTAAGTTATTATTGATTAACTTAATTAATATAATTTACGTAAATTAAAGGCCAAGAGGTTTGTGTTGGAGTCTTGCATATATGATGTATGTATAAGTTTTACTTAATTGATCTAAATTAGGGCTGCAAGCAAACCAAGCGAACCAAACAAATTTAATGTTTGTTTGTTAAATATGTTCATGAACATAGCTCATTAAAACTTCTTTGTTTAATGCTCGATAAGCATTAAACGATTCAAACATGAACCGAATATGAAACAAATATGAACACCCTTTCTCTAACTAACATAAATACTGCAATATGTTACCAAGTAATTTCTCAAGATTTAATAGGATTTAACATTTGACATACCAAACAATTTTTAGGATTTAACCCTTTTAGGATTTACTAAATCCTAATTTACAGGATTTACTAAATCCTACTTGTTGCCAAACAATCCCTAAGGGAATGTTTGGTTGTTAAATTTGTAGCATGATTTGTGCCGGATTTACGGTAAATTATGCTAAATAGTTTTTATAGCATACTGTAAATATAAATCCCTCATAAATCCTAGATTTATTAAATCTCTTTGTTCGACGAATTTACGAATTAAGGGATTTACAAGCTTGTGAGCCAGAAGGAAGGAGAAGGCAAATATTATTACCTACGCACTGAGGGAGCTTTTGTTGTGACTACCGATTCGACGCCTTTGAAGGAGGAAAAGCAATGAACTAGCTCCCCGTCGTGTTAAGCCCACACAGCACGCGCAAGTGAAGCAGACACCAAGAAATGAGAAATGATGATGAGGAAAAGTAACGAAGCACGAGATGAAAAGCAAACCCTACGACCTCCTAAATTATAAATTAATTCAAACTAGCATTATTTGATATAATTTAAATATTATAATTAATTAGATTAATGAAATAATTAATACTATACTTAAATAATTTAATTTTTAAATTAAAAAGTAGAAGTACGATTGGCATTAAATTAGTTTAATTAATTTTTATAATTCATTGGTTATTATAGTTATTAGTAGTATAATTATCATTGAATTATTTTAATACTTAAAAAATTAATTAAATCATAAATATGGGTATTACTTAAATAACTTATAACTTAAAAAAAGATTAACTAGTTAATTATGATTTAAAAATATAATTAGATGATTAGTAATATAATAAGTAATATAATAAGTAATTTTATAATTAACACCTAAATAATTTATTTGATGATTAGTAATAATTAAGCTAGCTTCTAATTATAATATTTAACATTATAACTTATTAAAGCTAATGAAAATTAAAAGTAATAAGTAACTTGTAGTTAACACGAAATTTAAATTCAAGGCACATTAAATTTAATTTCTAAATGAACCAACCGCATTAAATTCTAGATTAAGTTGTCAAATAGTTTCTCATGATCTATTAGGATTTAAATATGTCATACCAAATAACTTTTTAGAATTTAACAGTCTCAAGATTTACTAATCCAAATTTTACAAGATTTAGTAAATTGTACTAAGTTAAATCCTACTGGTTGCCAAAGAGCCCCTAAGGATATTGTTCAAGAAGATTGCATTTTGAGTCAAGCAAGTCATGGCATTATTAAATGGGTAAGCTACGAGTCACCTTTAAGAGAATGTGATTATGTCAAACTAACAAATAATATTAATCTTTCTAAAAGATATGAGCCACATATTTTTGTAACATGACATTAATTGATGTTAAAAAGCACAATTCATTTACATATTCTCTACATTTAGGGGTTGTTCGATAATAAAATTTATGCAAGATTTGACCAAACAAGATTTAAGCAGCAGTAAATCTCACGGTCTCATGATCCTCCATTTGCTCTTTTTTGGGATAAATCTTGGATTTACTAAATCCTCGAGGTTGGCGGATTTATGGGATTTAGCTGAAGAAGTGTGCGAAAGGGAGAACGATAGTCACCTTCACAATGAGCGAGCTCCAGTCACTATGTCCGATCCAACATAAAGAATGGCTAACTTTCATGACTTCCGATTCGACATAAAGAATGTCGAAGGAGACGAAGAAGACTTTAGCGACATCCAATTCGACAAGAAGGAAAGTCGCCGAATGGATAAGTTATTACGTGTGGACACTAGACTTAGAATTACATCTGAACTCCGATCAAATGACGACACGTGCCAATACTCATTGTGTACTAACTATATGTTAGCTGAGTCTTGGATGTGTATTAACTATATATTAACTGAAAGATTTTTCTCTCTCTCCCGCAATGGTTCTTAATTTTTTTATGATCATCAGGAGGGTTCTCTACACCAGCAAATGCATGAGAGTTGAGGAGCTGCAAACACTCATCTTCCTCTAGGCCCTCTAATTTAACTATTTCCTTCTTCTTTTTAATTACCTTTGCAAGCATCAGTGCAACTGAGTCCGTTCGAGTTGTTACCATAATCTTACTATCACTACCCCCAAAAGCTAGAGGAGCAAGCACATGCTCCCATTTACTTTGGTCCCGATCTTCCTCATCCTCCCAAATGTCATCTAGCACAAATAAGAACTTTTTGGAAATCTCCTTTGTATCAACGCTACGGAAGAAGTAGAGGAAGAAAGCAGTTATAGTCTGTCTTAAATTTAGGATTATATTGCCAAATAGTTTCATAGGATTTAATGGGATTTAACAACTATTTTACCAAACAGTTTTCAAGAATTAATGTATCCATAATTTATCAAATCCTAGATTTACAAGGTTTACTAAATCCTACTAAGTTAAATCCTACTTTTACCAAACAACCCCTAAAGGCTTAGGATGATCCTTGGAAAAGATAAGAGAAATTCTGACATTCTTCATCTCAATGGTTCCTTTGTAATCCGATCGTTTCGTGAAGATATATGAACAACGAAAAAGAATTCTAGCTGGAAATGGTCACATGTCTATTTGTGAAAATTTTATTCTGTGCAGAGTTGGGACATCGTCCAGAGACCAACAAAAATACGCCATGTCACCCCAAAAGTGTACCGCGCTTGGTATCGAGCTCAGTACCAAGCGGGTACCAGACGGTTCTCCCATCCGGTGTCCACATAGAATAATCTCTCATATTTGTGTCATATATTTTCAATAATTAATTTATTTTATGTTGGGTTGTATCATGTCCGAATAAGCACACCATAGCATGAAATAGATTATTCTAAAACAAATCATATCATCTAATTCATACTCAAACAAAATCTTATCCCATAACTTAAATTTAAAAATTAGATTATTCTAATGGGTTATTATACCTAATTTAAACAAAACTAATCCTAATAAAAGAAATATTATTCTATATCTATTTGATTGAGGTTCTTTCTAAACTTAGATCTAACTATGAGCCTGAGCTTGCATCCATAAGCTAAATCATTTATAATTATCTTTTTGTACTCTTAATCTCTATGTATCTCTGTTAAATACTACATGAGGTTTTAAAAAAAAAATTATTGAAATATTTTTGCACAACAATTGCTCATGTTTTCTTTAATCCCCTTATATCTTACTAATCCTTTTCTTGTAATTTCATTCATTCAACTTATTAGCATTTTTCCTATTATTTATTGAACAATCTCAACCTGCCTCAAATTTTCACTATTTTATTTTCAAAAGATACTGTGTTCATCAAATCTAAACTCTTCGTATACATTTATTCATGTTTGTATTTGTGTCTTACATATCATTCTTCCAATTTCCTAGACTACGCTCTAAATATTTCTTTTTCTCTTTTAGGCTCTTCAACTTATTTCCATACTTTTGTCTTCTCAATAATCTTCCCTTTTGATACCAAACAAAAGAATGTGGTTATGTAAATCTGGCAAATAATCTATATATTTCAGCAATGTATGTATAATCTTTAACTTGTTGCTTTAATGTTTTTTACCATTTTCTGTATTGAATTGTATGATTATGTTTTGTTAACTAATATAAAACTCTTTGTCGAGCTCACTCAAATATTCTTAAGATAATTAAAAGTAGACACATTTGTAAGAATATAATATCTAATACATAAAACTCTCTCTCGTCAATATAAGAGTAGATAAAGATTGATTATATACATAATATTAATCCAATAGTTTCACTCATCTTCAACAATAAAAGGGTGCAAATTAACTTTTTGAATGCATTGAAGCTTCACGGTTGAATATTTTTCATGATGAGACTAAATTATTCTTATTGAAATTTTCAACTTAATATCTAGATAAGCATTTGCACAGTGAATTGTCATGAATTTAACCACACTAGTTGTTGAGCCTTCCTTCTTCATTTTGTTTGCTTCCTAATTGCTTGAGAGTTGCATTGTGATGGTAGTAATGGTAGCAAAAGTTTTGAAAAGAGATGGGCTCTCAGAAGCATTCTTTATGGTAGTTCTTCTTCTCATTATATATTCTTTATGGTATCCTTCAAGCTATTATATATCATCTGCAAGATAGAAATCAATTAGCCATTATCTTATGATGGTTTGATTCAATGTTGCTTGAATTATAGACTTATTCATATAACAATTCTATTCAAATTAAATAGCATTAATATCCTCTGGGGAAAACATTGAGATTGGTATTTAAAAAGATGAATGATGATTATAATCTTATTTTTCATAGTGATTACATAGGTTGTTAATTAGATATCAGTCTAATAAAAGAAATATACTTAAAATATTATTTGTTATAGATGTATTGAAAAAAATCATCTTACTTCTATTAATATTATGGGCATTACATAACATATGTCAACAAATTAAACTAACCCCTAATTGAAACCTTAAGCAAATATACAAATAATTTATATATTTTACTAATTTCAAAACAAATCTAATAATATTCAGACCTATTATGACCAATATTTAATCAACATAATTTTTTTTCATTTTATATAATCTCTATAGCAATATTATTTTGTGTTCTGCAGAGCATACATCATACTAAGAAGTAAGGACTTTTCCTCTTGTAAGGATATATTAGCTTTAGGCTTCGTTTGGGACGGTTTTTTTATTGCTTTCTAAAATGGAGTTTTAATACAAAAATTAAAAAATTTGTATTTAAACTCCGTTTTAGAAAGTAATAAAAAAGCCGTCCCAAACAAAGCCTTAATGAATATTTTTTCTGCTTTTGCCATCAAATTAAAACTTTCTTGTCTTCACAGACCATGAGATCCTATGTAATCTGACAAAAGGTTGTCTTGTTGTTAAGTCCAAGCTCCTCTCCTTCAACTCTTCCTTAGATAAAAAAGCTTGCTTCCACATCGTCTATCTCCCTTCTTCTTAACTTCCACCAATTTTGTACACAGTAGAAATGTGAAAGAGGATACTCAAATAGCTGAACTCCATAGAAAGTGGATATACTTGACAATAAAATGCCAACAACCCCAACAGCTCTATTAACGCTATTCTGCCTCTTTCACTTAAACGTTATTTCGTTTACATTTATGTTGAATTGATATTGAATATGTTAATTTGAGTAGATGTAGAAAACATTTCTCATAAATATGCTCTTCACAACATGCTATTAGAACTTATTTTTAACGACATCAAAACACAATGTCATAAAAATTATTCTGTTTATTCTCAGTACATAAGATGATGCTCATAGGTATATTTGAGTGCTAAAATATGTTGAACTTATGAGTATAAGAACTCTCTCTCCTCATAGCTTCTCTCTCTCTCTCTCTCTCTCAACTTTGCCACTCCTTAGACTCGGATTAGTATAATCCTATGATATCATTTATAACACTAATTTTAATCCAAAGTCAAAGATTTTGAAATCTATCAAACTTCAAGATCGGTTGTAATGTTTGTGAGAACTATAACTTTGCATATATAATGGGATAGAAAAATGTTAAAATCCTCCAAGTTTTTAATTTAGTATTTTAGACTTTGAATGATAAACAGTGTAGTATTTATATGGCTGTGCAAATATATATGTATTTTATGATTAATTTGATTTTTATTCCTAGAATATTTTTTTATTTATAAAATTAAATAAATTTGAATAAATATTTGAAAATTTTTCATATAATAAAGAGATTGAAGCTTGATTATTTATATTCATGAATATGCTAGTTTGATATTTAATAAATAGTTTAATAAGAAAAATATAAAATGATAATTGATTATTTATTTGTTGATTTATTTTTTATGTTATAATATTAATTTTTTTATAATTTATAAGTTTTAAAAGTTATTTATATTTTGATATTTATATATGAAATGAAAATATCAAATAAATAGTTGGATAGATAGATATGAATTATTTTTTATTAATATTTATATTTTTATCCATTAGATTAAATAATACTTAATGAATTGCACTAATTTTTATTAAAATTTATAAATTTGACCATGTTAAATAATTGAGTTATATATTTAAATTAATAGTATCAAGTATATAATTAATTGAGCCTTAATTATGATTTGAATTGAAAAGAAAACTTATTAAGTTTGTAAAAGATTTAAGATTCAAGGAATGTATAAACTGTACTTGAATTTGATAAGAAAATAAATGAATTGATTTGATCAATATAGTATTAAACTCAATTTAGTTTACATTATAGCCCTAAACATCAACAAATAATAAAATGAATTAAATGGGTTATAGGGTTGTAAATGAGCCGAGCTAATTTGACGAGCTCATTATTTGTTGGTATTTGATTACTTCAAAATTTTATTTGTTAAGAGTATGGCACATGCTCTAAATTATTCATGAATATTATGCTTGTTTATTATTCATTTGTTTTCATATGGTTTGTGTTCAGTTTTAATTAAATTGAAATAGTTAAAAAATATTATATTTTAATTTTTTTAAATAACTCATAAAAATAAAATAATTTGTTCTTAAAAAATTTAATTACAATAAATAATTAAGTATAAAATTTAACATCCAACAATATAATTAATATCTTACATTATAAATAACAAGTTTGTAATTAAAAAATAAAATAAAATTTGCAATCAATTATGTTCAATATATATATCTTCTTCTCCATGTTGTACGTATTATCAACAGCCAAGTTAATAATTGTAATTTTATCTAAGAAAATAAATTAAAAAATTAATCATAAAAATATTTTAAATAAGAGAATATAAGAAATTTAAGCGAAATCAAAAAGTTATAATTTACAAAAAATTGAAAGTTATCTACCAACGTATATTAGTTTTTTTTTTTCATGAAAATAAAATTTTATTCCATCAAAAGAGCAATGATATATGTAAGACCCAACAAACACAAAGAGAGTGAATCAAGAGAGAGTATAACTAAGAGCCTTGAAGATAAAGAATGCAAAATCGCCAATCGGGCTCAGTTTTTAGCATAAGCTTCCAACCACTCAGATGTCAGGCACGGACCATCTAGAGGGAGAAAAGAGCAAAAGTCCACCAAAAAGTCAAATAACAGTCAACACCGAAATAAGGCCACCAAAAGAACAAGAAGATGCACCCCCAAAGGTTGCCAACAAGCCATAGATCCAAATGGTGAGACAAATGCCACATCATAGCCCAAAAATGATAGCTGCAACCGTAAAGCCAACCCCCATAAGCACAAATCAACCTAACGAGAAACAAACACATCCAGGAAAATCTAAACGGTAAGTAGCCACATAAAACTAAAAAAATAAATAAATAAGCCAAGTCAGCAACCGCCAAGCAACCACCAAAAATAGCTATTTTTTGGATTTCCTTTTTATACGTTTATCCACTCGAAAGATAGTATCTCGCATAACATCATGTTGTTCAAACACTTCCTCTTCATCAAGCCAATTAATAAAGAGCTTTCAAGCCAATTAATTTGCATCTTAACACTTTTCCCCGATATGACGCCCACGTGTATAAAAGGCATTGGAAGAAAGTAGAGCAACTGAAACATCGACAAGCTATTCCACGGAGGGAGCCGAAACAACTTGAACAGTAGGCATCACAGGCCAAGCAACAGATGGAACCACCTCATGCGTAGCCATCAAAGCCTATAGATCAATACAGAAAGTAGAGAAAGCAGAAGAGAGGAAAGGTGAACCATTGCATTCATCGCTCTCCGAATTACAAAATGTATGCAGAATATATAATGGGTATATTAGAGTAATCAGTAGTGTGCAAAAATACTCAGAAGCCGTTAAGCACTCAATGGTGCTGACGCAGTTGGCAGCAGAGCATCCAACGGCTTTTTTTTTTGGGACATTCATCCAACGGCTTCAAGGTAAGGTCTCCGAAAAGCAATATTCTATTTTGAGTACAACCAAAGCGGATCAGTGAGCCAACTGATCATGATGTTGATAGCTTATAATATATTGTATATCACTTAACAGCTTAACCTGCAGCTTTTTAAGATTAAATCCCTATATCAGACCAACTTTAGCCATTCTAAAAAATGATTAAAATCGAAAATCGAGCTACATATATAACGAAATATTAAAAAAGAATATATATATATATAAAAGGACCACCAAGTGATATATAAATAAAATTGAGGACATCGATATCATTGATACAAACTGGTTCATGCTGCCCTTGTATTCTTCACATTTCATATATATCAAACAAATTATTAAGATAAGAAGAAAAGAAGTTTGCTTTTGTATTTTGAAATTTTCATTGAAGTAGTTGGACCTAATATCCGGTAGAAATATGGATATTCGGAATGTGAGCAATCTTGTGGCGATTGGCGCCTCCATCCTCTCGATAGCGCTCCTTCAACTCTGGATGACATCCCCCCAAAATTTCTAGACTTTTCAAAGAGGGAGGAAGGTTCGGTAATTCCCGAAGCATAGGAACATCATAACCAATAGATAGTTTCTGAAGTGAAGATAAGCTTTCCAAGGAGGAAGGGAGAGACTCTAAGGATTTCAGCCATCTAAATTCCAGCTCAGAAAGAGAAGGCCTAACTTTCAGAAGCCACTGCTCCGCCTCATTTGGAAATGAAACCAGCTTATCATTATACTCAATACTCAGCTCTTTTAAGGAGGCGATACTTCTCAATGGATCCATTAGCAACACCGATGGATCACTTATACTGAGATTGTTGAGTATGAGATGACAATTATTAGTGGTCTCCACTTCTCGATATCTTCCCAGTGAGATCAGATTGGGGCAATCTCTAATTGTCAAGTATCTTAGTGCTGCAAGTCTTGCTATTTCATCAGCCAGAGGAAGAGATGTAATGTTAGGACAGCGAGAGACCTCTAATGTTTCAAGGGGAATAGGATTTGAATTGCTACAAAAATTCAAAGTCTTCCACTCCATAAATTCTATCCTCAAGCTCTTGAGCTTAGTAGGCAAACAGGGCAACTCTTTCAACTTCGGGCAGTAATTTAGCTTCAATTCAATTAAGCAAGGAAACAAAGATCCATCTTCAGGAGCTATTCCTGCCTCAAACCAATCCTCTAATGCTTCTAATCTCTCAATATATAACTTCTCTAGCAATGGAAAGGCATGGCATTTATAATTCCCATTAAATTTACTTTCGAGCCATTTTACTTTCGGCATTTTAAAAAGTTCCAGTGACTTGAGGAAGGGAAGTTGCCCAAAAGGTGGAAGAGTTTCCCACTCCATGCAACCTGTCAAATTGATTTTCTCTAGATTGAAGATCGGATTGACATTGTTCATCCATATCGCAGACCTTGCACCTATGTATCTCTCTATGCTCAGATTCCTTAGACATTTTGGTGGCTGAAGGTTGTCGAGCACGTTCTCATCTAAGTCGGTGTTCCTCGAATCAGTGTGACTCCAACTCCAACATAAGGTCAAATCTGTGAGCCTCCTCTTTTCACATAATTTGGCACTACAAGCCTTCTCGGCATCTTTAACATTTTCAAGGCAATTGATTCCTAATTTGCAAAGATCATTCATATTCTCCAGCTCCCCAATTCTATAACCACTCATATCTCTAAGACCAAACTTATTCAGTTCTTGAAGATACTTTAGCTTCCCAATCCCATATATCAATGAAATATAATTGTTGGGTAATCTCATGTAACGCAAGTTAGAAAAGTTATTAAAGTCACTTGGTAAAAAACCATCCACTTCAGATTTGCTTGACACCCATCCATCACAGATTATGTATTGCAAGTGATATAGATTACTTAGAGATCTTGGTAGCCCAATCAAAGCAAAAGCATTAATATTTAAGTATCGAAGATGTATCAAATTTCCAATCTCCTGAGGTAACATTATCTCCTGAGGTAACATTTTGAAGCCTGGAGCATATACGTATAATAAACGTAGGCTTCTTGGTGCTTTGAATATTTCAATAAGTGCACTCCAAAGATCCTTATTAAAATATTCATAGAACAAGAAAAGAGAATGCAAATGTTTAAACTTCTCAATCTTTCTTATGATGTCTAGATTTATAGTTTGAACAGACAAGTGTCGAATAGTCTCATAAATTTTGAGAGATGATTCTTCATCATTCACAAGTTTACCACATTCCTGTGCAAAAAAATTAGATGCTGACTCATATATTAAATCATGCATCTTGTAGTAATATCCGACCTTGTAGCCATATCCGACCTTGTCAAATAAAGCTTTTTTGACTAAAACATCAAAATACCTTATTCCGATATCCTCCATAATCATTCCTTGAGACGGCTGAATGAAACCCAATGCAATCCACATTCGGACTAAATCATCTTTATCAAACTTATGATCGTGTGGGAACATACAACAAATTGCAAAACAATTTTGTAGATGATTTGACAGAACTATATAGCTCAGTCTTAAGATGGAATGGATAGAATTCTGACTCAATAAATTACTTTCTAGAACTGTCCTCCAATGCCTTTCATCTAAGTTGTCATTCAGAATACCACCAATGACTTTAGCTGCCAATGGAGATCCTAAAAGCTTTTTAACTATCTCTCCAGCAATGGCTCTTAATTTTTTATGATCATCAGGGGGGTTTTCTACGCCAGCAAATGCATGAGAGTTGAGGAGATGCAAACACTCATCTTCCTCTAGGCCCTGTAATTTAACTATTTCCTTCTTATTTTTAATTACCTTTGCAAACATTAGTGCAACTGAGTCCGTTCGAGTTGTTAGCAGAATCTTACTGCCAAAACCCCCAGAAGCTAGAGGGGCGAGCACATCCTCCCATTTGATTTTATCCTTCTCCGCATCCTGCTCCCAAATATCATCCAGCACAAGTAAGAACTTTTTGGACATCACCTCCTCCTCGAGACGCCTTTGAAGTGCCCCAAGTGTTTCCAAACGGGGCCTCTCATTCTTAAGACATTCCAACATATCTGCAATGACTTTTTTCACATCAAAGTTGTCGGAAACACAAACCCACATTTTAAGATCAAATTCCTGTGTGATTTCATCGTTATAGACATGTTGTAAGAGAGTTGTCTTCCCCATACCACCATGGCCCGCTATAGATAGAAGAGAAATGTTTCTGTACAAATCAGTTTCCCGAGGCTCATTTGATGGATTCCTCAGCCACTCCATAACAAGCTCCTTCTCCTTGCGCCGCCCGATGAGATCATTGTTAGGCAAATATCCTGTTTCACGTGTTTTGTAGAAATCAACCTCGTGCGCCTTCTGTTCCTGCTTCGCGCTGTCTAAAAGATGAAGGAAAGTAGTAACATCAGCCGAAACTTTATCAAGTTTCCGCACAGCCTCCTCCAGCCGCTTCAAGTTGGGATCCATTTTGAGACCACGTTCGCCAATTTTGAGAATTTTACGAGCTCTTTCGAATAGGAAGCTTGTGACCTTTCGTTTCTGGTCAAATTAATTAGAAATATATTATCAAATAAATAAATAAGTAAATATATTCGCGAGCAGAATCAAATAGGAAGCTCCTGCAGGTGGCCGAACGCACCTTTGTTCCTTCCGTGTTTTTGGTGAGCTGTTATTTATGCTTCATGTACTCAAACTCATCGAGCACATCATCTGCCTCATCAATAGCATCTCGCAGTTGCCATATCCATTTGTTGAGAGCCGGGTCCTTGAGATCGGGGTTCTGATCGCTGATTTGTGCTCGGTTAGCCGCAAAGACGACAGCTTGGATCTTGGGGTGGTTCACTTGCAGCCTTTCAAGCTCCTCCTTCATGCCTGTCTGCCATCTGAATTGATCTTTTAGGTAATCTTTAACGTAATCTTTAAGGTAATCGTTACCAAGGAAAACAGAGCAAGTGTCGATGATCTTTTTCATGATTGGACCTACAGCTAATTCCGCCATGGCACCGACGATCTAGGTTGAGAGGGTAGAGCAACTGAACAGTAGGAGAAACAGATCTCGGAAGAGAAAGAACTCCAGCGGGAAATGGTCTCGTGCAGCTTAAGTCAAGTAAACGGAGATTAACTGAGAGAGAAGATGAAGCTTCGTCGTAGTCGGTAAGTTGACTTGACTTTGATGGGAACACGAAGCTGCCGCGAAGATGTAGCTGCCGCCTATCAGATCGATGGAGATTAGATTATTATGTATTTGGTCAGCTGTTTTTCAAGTTCCATGTACTCCAGCTCATCAAACACGTCATCTGCATCATCAATGGCATCACGTAGCTGCCATAGCCATTTGTTAAGATCCGGATATTCTTCTGTGATCTGCTCTTGGCTGGAAGCAAAGCAGACGACTGCTTGGATCTGGGGGAGAATCTCTTTCAGCTTTTCCAGCTCCTTGTTCGTGCGTTTCTGCCATCTGACTTGATCTTTCAGGTAACGGAAGCCAGCGCTGATGAGCTTCTCCATGATTGGATCAAGAAACATATCCGCCATGGCAATCTTCGACGATCAATGTAGAGCAGAACAACTGAAGAGTAAGAAAAAAAGGAGATTGGAAGAGATGCAGATTGGATAGTATATTTGATTCAAATTTGATAAGAAAATAAATAAATGAACTTGATCAGGATCACATTCTGATTAAATTATATTATATCTATATATCTATAATATCTATATTATCTATACTATTATTATAAAAAGGGCATGAATTTCCTTCCCTAGTAAATCTTGGCCATTCATTTTATTTCTTCTTAAATTATCTTGGCTATCCATTATGATATAAATAATTAATAATTCAAGAAAATAATGTTTATATAATTTAATGCTCTTTATGTATATCTCATTTTAAATTAATTTTAAAATTTATGAACGTTTTAATCATTAATTATATTTTCACCCCCTATTAAATGCAATAAATTACAAAGATAAAACTGATTAGTATATTTAAACACATAATAATATTTCAATTAAGCAAATAAATCTATATCTATACTATCTATACTACTATTATAAAAGGGGCTTGAGTTTCCACCCCTACACAATCTTGGCCATTCATTTTAATTCTTCAAATATTATCCTAGCCATTCATTATATTATGAATATTTAATAATTCTAAAAAAATATCGTAATAAATTAAT